AATAATTTCTGTTTGAATCTTATCGGTTTTCGAATCAACACCCTGAACTAATTAAGAATCCAACTCATTACTGGTGAATTGAGTCGGATCTTCTAGGAGTCCAATTTTGCTAGTCTAAAATCACCCATGTTTTTATGGTATATTTTAACGTAAGATTGTCTGACTTAACACTAACCAATGCCGTGCAATAATTGAAATTGGGCAGGATATGGTGATGGGTGGATCTGACACATCCGCCAACACAATAGAGTTCACCATGGCTGAACTCTTGAACCACCCAGAGGTTCTGAGGAAAGCACAGGAGGAACTTGATACGGTAGTTGGTAGGGCCAACAATGTTGAGGAGTCTCACATTCACAAACTTCCTTATCTGCTTGCAATAATGAAAGAGCCCTTACGGTTACACCCGGCTCTCCCCTTAATGGTCCCTCACTGCCCTAGCCAGACCTGCACCGTGGGAGGCTATACCATCCCCAAGGGCTGCAGGGTGTTTGTTAACGTTTGGGCGATTCATAGAGACCCTTCCATCTGGGAGAATCCATTGGAGTTCAATCCTGACAGGTTTCTGAACAGTAGCTGGGATTTCAGTGGGAGTGACTTCAGGTATTTGCCGTTTGGGTCTGGCCGGAGAATATGTGCCGGAATAGCAATGGCGGAGAGGATGGTGTTGTACTCTCTGGCGACGCTCTTGCATTCCTTTGATTGGAAATTTCCAGAGGGTGAGAAGCCGGAGATTGCAGACAAGTATGGGATTGTTATGAAGCTGAAGAATCCTCTCGTTGCAATTCCAATACTGAGGTTATCTGATCCTTCTCTTTATGAGTAAATCCACAGAACTGTTGTATTTCCTTGATTTCTTGTGCTTCTATTACTACAAATTGCCAGACAAACCCTTGAAGTTCTTCTAATCAATAAATTCAATTGAGAAAGTAAGTTCGATGAAAATATAATAATTTTTTAAATAAATATATTGTATAATGTATTAAATGATATTCTATCAATTATTATTTAATTTATTAATAAACAAATGTCATCTTAATATTATTTTATTTTCAATTATTTGATTTGTATCTACCCCTAACACTTTCTTATTACCTATAAATGATAAATGACAATGTATTTTTAAAATTGTCTAATATGATAATTTTAAAATATATAAAAATTAATTTTAAAACACCTTTTTTATTCAAACCGAAATAAATAAATAAATAAATATCTATAACCACAATTAATTTAACTATTTTAGCTGTCTGTCCCTATAAACAACCTATCTTCACAAGCACTTGCCTCATTCAAATTCCATAAGCTAGCTACCACGTGAACCCTTTCCTTTCCCCTTCTTTTAGCAAACATTGTTCAATTTATTATTTATTTTAACGTTGAATTGATGAACATGCTCTGCCTATCTATGATTGCAACAAAGTAGAATAAGCCTAGCAAATCTAGTTCTTAACAAAACAGCACAGCATGCATTAGATTACAAAAAAAATGTCAATATCTTGATTCCAACTTTTTGGTTTCTATAATGGAGAACGGTAAGAAAAGGTGCAATAAAACTAGAAGCAAGGATCACAATCACACCAAATGAAAAGAGAGAAACAAATATAACGTTTTATTCCAACCAACTTATGTACTCCAAAATAATTTGATCGATAAGTGGCAAGTTTCTGTAATATTCTAAAATAATTCCAGAAAAAACTGAAGATTTACCATCTATATATATAGTCTATAGAATTTCTTTGTCTATGCGGCATTTTTTCAAAAACGAGAGGGGAAAAGAAAAGGCCAGTTAAGCGAATTAGTATCGAGGACGTTTATTCGTTTGAGCTTTTCCTTTTATGGGCGTAAATAAATAAATGGGTGGGAAGTGACATGGATTTGAGTTGCCATAATCACGCCTGCTAAGACAGAGGGTTTGTTCGGGTTAATTTATACAGCTAATAATTGATAATTAATGT